CACCTGTGGCTGAGAATGAGCACACCTTCCAAGACCGCCCTGTAATCCATGGACTCAAATTCACACTTCATCAAAGGTGAAAACCCCCTAAGTGTTCTTTAGGGCCCAGCAGAAGTTGGGAAATGACCAGTGTGAAATTCACCAACGGCGAAGTCTCTCCTGCTCTGAAGATGACAAGGATGTGGACCCAGTCACCATGTGGAATGTGTGCTGGAAAGGCAGCCCATGTTGAAATGTGCACACGGATTCCTCAAGGTGAAGGCCTCGGAGCCCGAGGAGAGGTATAAACAGTGAAAGTCAGGTACCCAGAGGTAGCTGAGGAACCTCTGAATATACAGATTCCCTGGACTCTGCTCTCATAGTTTCTGAGTCCATGGACCTAGGGTCGGGTCTGGAAATACGTATTTATAAAGTTTTCCAAGCGGTTTTGATGATTAGCTAAGCTTTAGAAATAGCTGGTTTGATTTTCATGGTGGGTTTTTTTTTTTCCTGCCTAAAGTCACGTAAATCCAGGAATAGAAAAACAAATGGACAATGCTTGGAGATAAGAACTGAGAGATAGAGAAACCAAGGGACAGAGAGTTTAAGTGACTTGCTAAGTTGACATAGCTAATTAACGTTTAAACCAACAAGCACGTATCAAACATGAAATCTATGCAAGGCACTGCACACAATCTGTTGGAAATACAAAGAAATGTAAGATGTCATCCCTGTCTTTGGGGCCTACACACAGGACGCACACTCAAAAACTGGCTTTGTGGAAGGCAACAGGGAGTAGTGGGGACTGTGGCAAGCTAAAGGCTGTGTGCTAATACAGTGAGCATTTGCTACTCAGCTCCAGCTCCTTGGTGCTTATAAGGGTGTGGGCCTAGACTGGCCAGATATTCTGGGGTTTTTTTAAAGGAGCCAGAAAGTCCACATTTCCCGGCTTTTAAATATAATAACTCATTCAATTAAAAAAAAAAAAAAAGCAAGAAAGCAAACCACACTGTCAGGGCCAAATGAGATTCATCCATAGGCTGACTCCTGCCCATGGAATGACAGTTTGCAGCCTCTTTCCTAAAAGGTCATCCAGTCCAAACTCCCTTGAACTCAAATGTCCTCTAGAGCCCTGCAGAGTGGCACAGAGGGTGAGGGGTCCCATCTAGCAGGTTAAGTGAGTGCCTGGGGTTGTGTCTGTGTCTACGTGTGTGTGTGCCCTCACGCGTGCAAGGGTGGGGCTTCTGGCCACCCTGCTGTCCCTACTGGAAATGTATTCCAGGCTCGTCGGAGGCAGGGTGTGGCCCCAGCAGCCCACTTGGAGATGCCCTGGGGAGGGCCAAGATCTTCAGGCCAATAGCGGCTGGTTGGTTGAGGAGTCCGGCTGGAAGGGGCTACAGAATGAAAAGTGAAGGAAGGAAAAGTCTAGAGAAAGCTAGAGAGCACAACTGTCTTGAAAAGGACTATTGGAAAGGCAAGAACAAAGAGGCTAGGAAGAAGCATCAGTTCTAGAAATCCCATCCCCCAGAATATGACTTCCCCAGACTCCCCAGCCAGCCAGCCAAATGAGCCCTCTGGCCACTCTCCATCTGCTTGCTCAACTGAATTTGTCTTCACAATACTGACCACTACCTGACCTTTTACATCATACACTACTTTGCGTATTTGTCTTTCTGGATGCCCCCAACTCTGACATACAGCTCCAAGAGAAGGGGGCTTCGTCTACTTTGTTTATGGTTCGGTTCCCAGTGCCTGGCACAGGCCCAAGCACATAGTAGTTGTTTAGCACTATCTGCCGGACCAGTGGACTGCAGCCAAGCTCTTGGCACCAAAACAGTTGAAGTGTCAACCACATAATAATAACATCAGCACAGGGCACTTTATCATTTACAAAACCTGTCGTTTAACTTAATTCCTCCAATGTTCTCTTACCAAACGGCTTCGTGTGTTTGGCCACAGCCCAAGAGACCGCTGGCCTCTGCAAGGTGGCCCGCCCAGCAGCCAGCTCAGACCGGACCGCCTGCACGGCAGCTCGGCCCGGGTTTCTCGCCGGGGCCCGGGATACGACGAGGCTCCAGAAGTGCAGGGCTCAGCACTAACCGGGCCATGTCATCAAAATGATCGAGTGTTCTGGGGCCAGGTTCATCCGGCCTCCCCAGCCCGACAGCGGGCTGCTGAGAAGCATGTAAGGATGTAGAGAGCCATGGGGGGCAGGGGATGCAGCACAGTCTAAGGTTGATGCTCTGGCTCTATAAGGTCCGACCGCTGGGCTGATGTCCCAGCTGCACGACCTCAGACCTCTCTAAGCCTTGTTGACCTCATCTGTAACGTGGGCATAAACCACCGCCACGGTAACCATCACTTCAAAGGGTTCAGTGAGACACTTGACGAAGAGCGCCCAGCACCGTGCCCCGTGCGAGTCTCCACCCCAGACAGCCCCAGCTCTGCCCCTCTCCAGCGGTGTGATCCTGAGTGACTTGATCTCTTCCTCCCTGGACCTCAAATTCCTCTTCCCTACAACGCGGAGAACCCGAGCACCAAGACAGGGTAATAAGGAATCAGCAAGATCGTACGTTCGGCACTTAGCACAGGGCCCGGTTCATCTTAAATGCTTAATAGTTGTGAGCCAGTATCTTATTATCCTTCAAGAAACTTCTACTAGGCTAAAATGCCAACGTGAAAATCCTCCAAAGGCAGTTCGCCATATGCAAAGAAATCTTCGGGACAGAAGGTTCTAGAGCTGCAAGTTTCTCCCCACCTCCTTTATTTTTCAGTTGCTCTCAGAATGACCCTCCCCCAATCTTAGGTCTGACCTAGGAAGCATGTGGAGGTCAGTTCCCAGTGCAGGGCTGACCTCACTCCACGCCAGCACAGTCTGCACTGCTCCATCTGCCTCTTCGCCCCCACGAAGCTGCAGTCTGACAGCTGGGGAGGGGACATGCAAATATGCCCTAAAAACGGCTTGTTATTTTCACGGCCTGGATGGTGCGTGTTTGTGGGGGCCTGTGAAGACAGTCACTGTCAGGTACAGGGCATATGCCACCAATCCGGGGGAGGCTGTGAAATGTAAAAATACCCAACCCAAATAAAGCCCTTTTCCAAAGAAAAAGAAAGCTCCTCCGCGCTCTTTGCAGAAAGGGAAGGGGTGGTAACTCAGCCCCCAGGGCAAATCCCTGCTGGGCCAACCCCGGACCAAGGTACCTGACTCTTCATTGGTCCCACAGCCTCCGTGCCCCAGTGAAACTGCTCAGCTGCTGGTTTTAAATGGCAATTATACTGTGGAACGACCCAGAAACGGATGCTTTCAAGTTATGAGCCTGGGAAAGGGAATAGCAAAAGACCAAAGACAAGGGCCCTCCATAAAGAAAACAGAGCACTAAAAAAGCCAGGAAGTGCTATTAACAGCACGTTGATTTATCAACTCAGAAGAATATAATTACCGTCAACTTTCATCTCCTACTTAACAGTCTTTAATGGGCACCTACAATGCACCTCATCCAGGTGTCCCCAGTGCAAACATCTACAGTGGGAGCCAGGCAGTTGAGGTAAATGGAGGCAGCTTGTGGTAACAAAAGCAAAACCAACAGTGTAAACAAAACCAAGGACAATAGGGAGGTGTGTGGGCCTGTGGCAAACTGGAGGGAGGAAAGAGGTGAGGGGGGCTCTCCATTCCATGTGGCTGTGGCCAGGCCACAACGGGGTACAGTGTGACCAGATCTCCCAAGTTTTTAATCAAAGATTAAAATCCAAATTTTCAGGTGAAATATTGTTTCAGGTTTCTTTTAAAACACTGTGCGGGCCAAACAAAACACATCTGAGAGCCAGATCCAGCCCACAAACGGCCAGTTTGTCACCCCTGACCGAGCCCCCAGCAGCCCCTCTTTGCAATTTGGTGGCACTCCTGGGGATTGGGGGCGGGGGGATGGGGGCAGAGCAGAAGCTGTATAATAAACCCAATGCAGTACCCAGACACCTTTCCCCACTCAAGAGTCCCTCTTGCCTGAATGTCCAGCCCTCTGAGCTCCATGCTGCGGGATGGACCCATATCCAGGCGCACCTTTGCCTATGAGCGAGCTCCTTTGCTTCGCGGTTGCCCAAGTCCTGCCCCCATCCCCACCCCTCTCGGCCTCCCGCTGCTGGCCCCTTCTCCCTTCTAGGTCGGCAGCTATTCTGTCAGGCCTTGGAAAAAATGGCCCTGCTGGGAACCTCACTGGGGCAGGTCTTTGGACAAACTGCCACCCCTGGGGAAGAGGCTGGGGGAGCGCACAGCACTGAGGCTCACCCACGCTGAGGACTTCTGCTTCTCACCAGTCCCCAGGGAAATGCTACTCTTCTGCAAGGAAGGCTCATGGGAGCTGCAGCCTCCAGGGACCCGAGGAAGGAGTGCTTCACATGCAGGTCCTCTGCAAACAGCATCTAAAGCAGATGGTGCTGCGGGACCGCCTCCATGCCCGTCTCTGGCAGCTGCTGGGGAAGGGCTGCCACACCACGCCTCCCCCAGTGCCTACCTTCAGCTCCGGCCTGGGGCCAAGAGGGGTGGAGGCAACGATGTGCCTCACAATAATAATTTTGAAAGGTAATCCATGATGGGCATTCTCTCGTATAGTTTCCAAAGCATGTGCATGTGTCCACAGTCTCCCCTGATCCTCCCAACAGCCCAGAGAGACCGCCACTATATTATTATTCATTATCGTTATTATTAATCACTCCTCCTTTGCCCCTGGAAGAACCAGACACAGGTTCAGCATCCTGCCCTAGCCCAGAGCTTCTCAAACTTTAACATGTCCATGAACCCTCCGGGAGAGATTGTTAAAATGCAGATTCTGATGCAGAAGTTTCTGGAGCGGGGCCCGAGACGCTGCATCTCTAACGAGCTGCATGGTGACAGAGATTCTACGGGTCCTCAGCCCCCACGCGGAACAGCAATGCTGAGGTCACTCGGCGAATGTGGGGCTAGAGCTGGGGCTGTAACCCAGGCATCCTCCCCTTGGAGTCCACTTAGAGGAACAAGGCTTGCTCACCTCACTTTTCACGGGTTGGGGCCTCTTGCCCAGTTTCACCTCCAGGAAGTGCAAGGGGGCGATCATGGCCCCAATGTTGCGGATGTCGGCGTATTTCAGCTCCTCTGCAGTCAGAGCTGAGCTGGGGAGTCCGGTCAGGGGGCCGAGCCCTGGCAGAGAGCCCGCAGTCACGGAAGGGTCTGGAATCTGCCCAGGCATCATAGCAGGAGGAGCGGCAGCCCAGCCTAGAGTGGGTGCGAGAAGATCGGGACACGGGCCGTCAGCCAGGTGAGGGGTTCCGTGAGGGGCTTAAGCCCCCATGCCTTGCTGGGGCCTCTTCCTTTCTTTCACTAATGTTCCCCTGAACCCCTTCCCCACCCAGTTGCTCCTCTCGCCCTTCCATCCATTCTGTTATAGAGAAGAACTCCGATCAATTAATGCCCAGCAGTTATTCTTGGCACTGAAGGCAAGGCTTAACCCAAGCACAGGCCACATTGATTCGGTATGTGCTATGTGCCCGGCGCTGCGGGAATCCTTCCAGTAGCCCCACGAGACGGAGTCAGACCCATTACACAGACGAGGAAGCCAAGGCTGAGAAAGAGAACTCGCTCAAGATTGTGCACAGTTAAAACTGGAGTAGCCGGGATTTAAACTGCACCATGCTGCCTCCGAAGAAAGCGGGTTACAACGGTAGCGTCTCAGGCCCCTTCGCACCTGATTGAGAGAGAGCTATTTCTGCTCGGGCACGGTGCCTCCCCTCAAATCACACATCCCGTTCTGCATACTTGTTAAGACACCCTGAATACGAAATGAAGCAAATCGAAGTTCAAGGTAAGCGTGTGTGTGAGTGTGTGCATCTGGCGTCTACGGGGAAGACAGAGAGGCAAAGATGAAATGCATTAGCTTGTGCTTTCCCAGCGCAGCAAGGGATCAGAAAAGTCCTCCCCATCTCTTCATTCTCAAAGCAAACACATATTCTGGCCCAGCCAGACCCAGAAGGTGTGCAAAGGAAGACAGATTCAGGCATGAAAGAAAGACAGAAGTTAGACAGGTCAACACCACCAGAGAACTCTTATTCCTTCTCCCTACGGGGAGAAGCTGGTGGATAAGAAATGGTCACTTCGAGACACAGATGGCAGTGAAGAAAGCATGTCTGCCAAGAAAGCCAGACTCATCTGGTCCCTTAGAGGACTCGTATCTATCCATCCATCCATTCACCCTTCCAACTGTTGACCACCTATGAGCCAGGAGTCACTGAGAATATGGAGATCGGATGTGTACAGCCTTGTAAGTCACATTTTAGTACAGAGCTGCTCCTGGATTCCAGTCCTGCAAAAGGGAACTTCTCTCCCTTCTTACCTCTCTGCATAGGGCCATAAAATCAAAACCTCAACTGTCCTGGAAATCCTGGGGGAGCTCTGTCCTACCCTTCTACCTCTATCAGTCTCTTCCATGGAGAGGGATGTATTTGGTGAGATAGGGGAGATGTGACATCCATTGGACCGCACTTCCCTGCTGGGCAGAATTCATGTTCTCCTATGGCCATGCTGTCTTGGGCTCATTGCCTCCCATAAGAGTGGCCCTGGGGGGTAATCCACAACTGTCTGTCCCTATCCAGGCTGCCAGGTCTAGAGTACAGGACAGGGGCCCACTAGGGAGGCCCTGTCGGCCACAAGCACACACCATGTTCTCCATCTCTGTTCTCTTTTAAAGGTGAAATTTGCTTCCCCATCCAACCCTATATCCCTTTCTCAACAGGTTCTGCACTCTGAGGGGAAAAGCATGTGAGGGATTTGCACCCTTGAACCACAAAGACTTCCCCTGGACATCACTTCCCTTGAAGAAAGGTGCATGCGAGTGGACGACGGACCTGCCATTTCGCCCTCAGCACCCCAGCGCACCTGCCTATGAAGCCGTTTGCAGAGAGCTCCTTGCCGGGCACCCAAGTTCACATTTGGTACCCCAGGCCCTATGTTTGTGCTCCACCTGCTCTGCTTCCCACACCCAGCCCCTCACCCCTCCTTAGCACCTAGTGTCCCCCGGGGCCATCTCAGAAAAGGATCTAAGACTCATTCACATCAAGTCATCGTCTTAGAGCTGGAGGAGGCCCTGTGCTTATCTAAACCACATCCTCATTTTGCACATGAGGAAATTAAAGCTCAGAGGGGTGAAATGACTTGCCCAAGGTCACACAGAGGAAAAGCCAGGGCTGGACTCCTGGTCCCTGGATTTTAGAACCAGAGCTTTCTCACCCTGCCCTTTTTGTTTCCCCTCCTGGGGTTCAAGAGATATATATGCAGATATTAATGACCTTCCAATGGTGGACTTTGAGACACCAGCCCCTAGCGGAGGATCACTCTCTTGCACCGAGGACCCTCTACTCTGCCTTCCACGCAGATCCAGGTTTAGGAAGTTCCCTGAACAACACATGGTAGGCTGGGTGGGAGCCCAGACATGGACATGGCCCCTGAGACATCTCGTATGCAGTGGGTCAAGGTGTTGTGACCCTCCCTAAGCCTGAACTGTACTGAAGGCACCCCGCCACCCTCCAGAGCCAGGCCTGCAATGCAGAGAGGGCTGCAGGTTTCCACACCAGAAGGTGGCTCTGGGGCCGAGTGGATGAGCTGCATATATCCTGGGGCCTCCCCCAGGGAGAATGAGAAAGGGGCCAATGGAAGGACTCCTTCCTAGGTGGCAAAATGATGCCTGGGCCCAGCTATAGGTACACCTGGCAGGCAGAGGGGAGTGATTTCAGGCTACCTGAGCCAAACTGACATCTCCTTTCCAGGAGAGGAGAAAAACTTACAAAATGCCCTCTGCCAGACCTGAACTCATGCCACGAGGAGTCAGTGACCCCCCACGCCCCCCCACCAAAAGGATGCTTGAGCTAGTCAAAACAGATGGGTAATGGGAGGCGGGGAAACGCCCTGTGCCTGGTGTTTCAGCTGGACACAAACCCCTAGCGGGATGGAGGCACCACACCCCTGCTATGCAGTCAAGCAAGAATACAGAGCAAAATCTCCTCCTTCGCCAGAAGCCCCCGAACCTTCTTGTACTGTAAGGGCCAATTCCTACGGGGCAAAATGTGCCATGTGGGCACTCAGCAAGCATATGGGTGATTTCAAGGGGGAAGCAGCAGTCATGGCTAGTTGCTGCCCCATGGAACCCCAGTGCCTAGCATCATTTCTGGCACAGAAAGGGTAATCAACAAATACTTGTTGAATTAATAAATAAAAATGAATGAATGAACAAGTGATAAAAAAAAATTCATGGTGGAGCAAAAATCAGAGAGTGGGGTAAGGAGCTGTCTCTGGGAGTTTAGATGCTCGTTATCCACCTCCAGATTATTTGTTCCCCCAGTAGACCCCAAGAAAAATACTCCAGCGGCTTCTGTATGCTTCCCTGCCTAAGCCATCTCAGAAAGATGGAAGCCAGACCCCGATCTATTCCGGGAATGATAGGCTCTGCTTGCAGCTTCTGTTTATTTTCATACAGACAGTATAAATGACACACTAACAAATGATCCCAAAATATAATGGATGCTTTGCTACTGTGGAACCCCCTCAGCGGGGTAACCGCCCCCTGGGAGCAGCAGCCCCATAAATTCTTGCCATTCCTGCTCCCCTGTGAACCCATCCCAATGGCAAGCCTCACTTGGAGGATCAGACACCAGGCTTTCCTCTGCAGAAGTAAAAATCCCCCTCTCTTTCCTCCCCCCGCCGCACCCCACCCCCCACCCCGGCAAGGGCGCCCCTAACTGCTCAGATACAAACCACAAAGTCCTTAACACATGCCATTCCTAGGAGACAATCCCAACAGCTGACATTCACCAGTGCGAAGTCATCCTAAACGGCTCTGGGGGGGCAGCGGGGGGCGGGGGGGCAGAAGATGGAGGGGCTAGAGCGGCTGCCTTTCATAACCGGGTCCTCATTAACTGGAAAGAGCTGGCTGACAAGCCAAGGTTGAAAGGCAACTTTGGTGATTTGAAAAATAAAACCATTTGATGTGATTTAGGGATCTATAAAAATGGGGGGGGGGGGCAGTGGCAGGGAACCTATAACAGCCAGGAGGAATTTACCCACTTCAAGGAAGACATAGGAAAGATGACAAGAGGTGAAATCATCTCCCAAACTGCTTCTTCCATACGGAAACAATTTAGGAGGAAAAGGAGAGCTATGCACTAAAAGCTTTAGGGGAAGAACCCAGAGATTTTTCCCTTCAGGGCCCAGGAGGTCGGAAAGGAAGATAAACACCCTCCATGCCTCCATTAGTAACTGGGATGCATAAATAAAGAGCAAGCTCTATATGTTGGCAGAAGACCAAAACTGGCAAATGGGGCTTGACCTCAAAAGACAGGCCCAGAATCCAAGAAGATTTGGGCAATTTGGGACATTGACCAGGAACAACTTGGAAACTAGCCAATGAAGAAAAACTGGGTAATGCACAGATCTGAGATGAGACTGACAAGAAAGGCACGAATAAGACAGAAAGCATTCGGGAGGTCACAGCGGACCCTAAGCTGCTCTGGAGCCTAAGATTTTGGGAGGCTTAATGCAGCTCCCTAAAAGCGGGCTTGGAGAAGATAGGGACCAGATGGGTCCAAGAGGCAAGAACCTAAAACAAAGATCCGACAGCTTGTATCTCCCTGTTCTGACTTCCTCGGGGGCTTGTGGGCACACAGTTTGGGGCAGTGCCTTATACAAGCAGAAGAAAAGCCACAGTACACTTCAATTCCAGATATCGGGTCCCGTTGGAAGATACTAAGATGAAGAATCATTTCAGCCCAAAGAAGGAAAGGTAGAGTTTCCCCCTCTTATTTTCTTCTCTTGTGTACTGTATGTAACTCTGTAAGATATAGTTTTTTAATGGAAATATCTACAAATAAATAACAGTCTTGCTGTGAAAGGTCAAGCTTGTATAGGGCTATTCTTGTTAGAAAGTGCCCATTAATCGTCTTCTTCATCTAGAATGGCAAAGACAGATTAAAAGGGGGGGGGGGTAGGTTAAGAGAAAGTTAGGATCTGCATCATGAACTCTCTGTCCATAGAAATGAAAGCTTAAGGGAGGCTCTAAAGTCCCTGGGCCTCTTTGGGAAGGCCAGCCCCCCTCCAGGCAAACAGCTGGCCTGGGCTGGCACCGGGAGCCAGGAATGGGTGTGTAAAGAGTGCAAAAGGCCTGAGGCCCCAAGGCTCAGCACTAAGAGAAAGTGGAGGTGAGTGGGGGCAGGTCAAGGGCCCAGGAACAC